TCCCTCCCCCCCCCTCCCCCCGTCCCGTTGTCCAGCCTGCACCTCGGCCATCCGTTTTGCGGGAAAACGTGCATGTGCATCGGGCACATTCGAGAAGGAATAACCATTTTTTCGTGCCGGACAACACTCGCTCCGCGTCGCCCGCGTCCTGCAAATTCTCCTCGTCTCCCGACCGCCGCCTCCGACCACCCTCCCGCAATCCCCGACACTATCCCTCGCATCCTCTGTCCATTTTTTCGTCGAACCTTTTTTCGTCGCCCGCCCTTCTTCTACACCCACCTAACCATCCCCCGGTTTCCATCTCCCTCTCGTCCCCTTTGCCACCTACTGTCGAACAGAGCGAAATCGAACTGACGTGGACGCGGCAGTTTTCCATCTTTCTATTCCCCCGTGGGGGCGATGACATTTTTTTCGGTCTCTCAACTTTTAGATCTACGCGACCGGCTCCTCTGACGTGAAAATATCGCTGGAGCGACATTGGTGCGGCATTTCTATCGATACAAACCCACTACTAAATACTTGTAACGTACGATTTTACCCTCGCCAATCTTCACCGTCACGAGTCGTTGAGATTGAATGAAATAATTCAGTCGATTAACAAAATATATAATTATACAGTGATTTTCGATTAACCCTTAGCCCCCCCCCCCCGCGATCGGCTCATTTATTTGGTCTCTTCATTGAAATACTAGTTGGCTAAATAATAATGGTCTTCGTCTTTTCTTTTTTTAAATACACAACTACTCTCTAAAGATGTTAAAATGTATGTGAGAATCACTCGATAACTTTCATACACTTATAGAAGTGCACTCAGGAAAAGGTTGCTTCGATTTCAAGAAATGTTTCTTTGCTGTAAAATTTCTTCGACTTGTGAAAAAAATTTCTTTGATTTAAACATTATTTTTTTAAATCAAATAAAATTTTATTTAATGTAAAAAATAATGTTTAAGAAATTTTTTTCTTTAACCGCATAGCAAAGAAACATTTCTTTAAATCGAAGCAACCTTTTCTCTGAGTGATGAAAATTGATCCGAGACAAATTAATTCGCAACTCATCGTGAGTAGTAGGACCAGCTATAGTAAAGGATCGGAATATATCATCGTGTACTAAGGATTTCGGTACACTAGTACGATGGATCATTCATGTCTCGGATATATCTCATCTTTAGAAAATATTTATAAAGTTGTGTATTAAAAAAAAATTCTATGTAAATGTTATAACTACCTAGACAACACAAAGTATCCCAACTCGAGACATGAAATGTTTTTGGCATCTTAAAGACGTCTTATGTCTCTAATTTTGGACTTTGTGTTGTCTGAG